TTCAAATACAGCGTTTCTCTTGTGCTCCATATTTGAGCCATGAAACATGTCATGCACATCTGTGAAACAAAAAATGTTGGTCAAAACATCCATTTTTTCTTCTCTGCAACCATTATATGAAATACTTATTACATTGGGGGAATGCAGCGATCATAAACTGGACGTCTGCTGAACAAGCCAGAGAAAGTTCGTTGTGGCCAATTGCACAATCTCAAACAGTGTTTCTTAAGTGTTTAAAGTGTTGTAAGTGTTTAAAGGGATAGTACACCCTCTCACCCTCCTCATGTAATTCAAAACCAGTATGACTTCTGTAACAAAAGAAGATATTTAGAAAATTCTCAGTTTCTTTTCATTCATACAGTGAAAGTCAATGGGGTTGTTCATTGCCATACAGGTTTGGAACAACATGAGTGAGTAAATGATGACAGAATTTTAGGATAAACTGTCCCTTCAATGAGCCCAGTGTTATGGTCTGGGTGTATATTCCTTCTAGACCCATGTTTGGGGTTTCCCAAAGCCCTGCATTCGTGGGGAGAGTGCCGGAGGCGAATATATTCTGTTTAGGTTTGTGCTTTTCTTTAAACAAAATACAATAATTAACGGTAACCTGTGTCATGTGGATCATTTACAATGCACTATAGTTTACACCAGCACAGGGGCATTAAGTCTTTGCAGGCATCCAGTTGTGTCTTAGGTGGACGCATTTGAGTGGCCCGGGATCATCAATAATAAACCTGCTCCATTGCATTTCTCTGGGGCAGTCCTCTTGCTGTGTGATGCCTGCTCAAGGTGTGCTAATCAGGGTAACCCCACACCGGCATGCTCTTTCAGACACAATAATGAGTCCCTTTCACATGTTGTACCATGGCCTGACCTTACCACAACCCTCCTGGCATGACCTCTCAAAGATTCAACCTTTCGCTTTGATCAGAGTGTTGAAAACCACACCAAAGCCTCTTCTGTCATGCACTATGAACTTATGATATTTTCCCTTAGAAGAAATTAAGCCTATTGCTTAACCCACGGTGACCACGATGAACATCGGAGATTAATCCACCCTGTTCTGTGTGACATATCCTGGGGAGGGGATACATACCCGGTCGGGCGTTGAAGCCTCTGGCCTTAATTGACCTGATGCAGGGTGACTTCAGAGAGTTTAATAGACTCTCCATGCTACTCCATCAATCACTTTACAACCTCTCCGTAGGACTCTTTATGTGCCTTCATAACCTCGAAGGAGGAGGGGGGTGAGAGGATGTAAAAGGATTGGAAGATGGGAGAATGAACCAAGAGAAGTGCCTTTCAGTGAAAAGAATGATGGGTTGTGTGGAGGATCATGGGGGCATTTCATTTACAAGACATTATCATTGTACCCGAGTGCTTTAAAGCTGATGTATTTACCCCTCTTCACCGTTCTCACTCTCCCTCACACTCATATCTGCATGCCTTCAGCTCTGACAGCTGCTCACTTAATAGATCCCGTTTGACAGTGCATAAGCCAATTAAAATGCTGCTGATTTAATTGAGCTGGGCAAAATCAGCCTATGCCAGAAAATGAGTCCATTAAAGAGGCGATAGGGGCCAGTGAAGCGGAGGCCATTCATGCTGTGAACCAAAGTCGCATCCCGTCCCTTGTCTCCTCCCTCTCGGCTCTGCACATTCCCATTTGGGAAGAGCAGAACTCTGTGAGGACTGAACGTTGATGCCGGATTACAGGCAAATTAGAGTCAATTAATGGATTTGTTCAGTCTCTTCACCAAATGACTCTGGGAGCGCCACAGTCCAGCAGAGTTTAGCTCACACCTGAACCAGATAATCGAGGTATATCTAGGACCTCTAAAAACTTTCAGGCAGGTGTGTTGGAACTAAAGTTTGCAGGAAAGTGTCCCTTCAGATGCAGAATTGGACACCCCTGGTCTAAAGGTATGGCATGGTCAGGATTGCACTTACTGTAGGTGAACATTAGACATATTGTTAAATAAATATCTCTGGCACTTCTGAGCCAGCTTTAAAAGAACATCAATGCGGGTTCTGTTCTCACCATCATGATATTACGCCAATTGGGAGATAACCGGCACATCACCAGGCAGTAAAGCTCTATGCATACTTTAAGCACAGCTAGAGATAAAAGAAGTCACTTTATCTATATCAAAATGAGACCGAAATGAGCAGCAGTCCCTGGTGCATATACCCAAAACTTTGAGGGCTAAATCTGGTTGAGGCATTCAGGTATCTTATGTGGAGTTCTGCACGATAGAGGCTATCTTTACGGATAATTAAAATTCTCAATCATTCTCATGCAGACAGATTGAAGAAGCCTGAGGGTTGAGTATAATCTAGCAAGCGTGAAATCCTTGGTGACAGTCGAAATGTTCTTAGACTTCAATTGCACTTTGGTAAAGGAACATCACATGGGTTCATTACTAGTAATCCAAACCCAAAACCAGGTTCACGTAATCTAAAGCAGCCGCCTCGTGTAAATCACTTCCCTTGCTCTCCGAGCCACGGATCCAACCCTGTCATCCAGTCTGGGAAATGAGGCATTAAAAAGTGATGCATACATTTAGAGAGCCAGGCTCTTGTTCAATCAGTGCAGGTAAAGTCGTTTAGCAATGCCTGGGCTGGCCTCTCACTCAAGTGTGTGTTTAAGGAGAAATGGGAAGGGAATGAGATTTCAGACATGACAAATGGGTAATGGATGAACTCAACAAGCAAGACAAAGACAAAGAAAGGATGAGATCTCAAACCTAAGAGGCAACAATCTACAACGTGAAACTTTTTTTTTTTTTCAGATCAAACTGTAGCCACTCAAACATGAAATAGTCTCAAGACATAGCCCGGTTTGACATCCCAAGATTTGGCTATTGCTCATCACAGGATGAAGTTGACTTTGCCAGGTCAGATCTCTGCTGTAGCGACAGCCCCCCTGCGTGCTCCTCTTGATAGGCTCACTGAGGCAATGCAATAAAATTTGAAATGAGGAACAGCATGCCTGCCTGCAGAGAGAGGAGATGAGTATATGGGCCGCATCACTGAAGCCCTGCAGCTGTGGGTCTGTTTGGAAGACAGTTCATAACCAGCTGGCTCCAACAAGTCATCATCTCTCCCAAACACACACACACACTGCGTTCCTAACATTAAGACAGTGCTGAGCGTCAGCCCGTAATTTCATTTTCTCATTGATGTCATCCGATTTGACAGGCAAAAAACTGCAGGACACAAATTGCACACAATGCGATTTTTTCTTTCTCTCACTCATACTGGATCTCTTTTTCCCCCCTTCACTCATGCTGTCTCCAAACGTCATATTTTCTTTATAGGACAATGTAGACCTGACAGTAAAGCAGAGGGGGAATGGAAATGAATCGAAGTCTGTGACCCATAACTCTTTATATATTACAAGGACATGCACATCCTCTGACAACCTCAATTTCTTATTATTGAAGGTTCATGGTGTCTAAAGGAGGAACTTCTGACTTCAAAGACAACATTAGTCACATTCAGAATTTCAAAGAGTATATTCAGAAATGAAGACAGTTGTTCTGAACCACACATGGTTGAACTAGAGTATAAAACGAGTCCCAAACACCTAATTCAAAACTAAAAGCTCAAAACCAAAAGATCCCGATCATATTTACGTTTGAAAGGTGCATCATATCAGCCAGATGCAGGCGTCAGATTCACGCTCGCAATGCACGTTATGACACACACACAGTAATGCACTTCAAAGGCGTGCCGATCAAAGCACGGGATGTGTACTGGAGAATGTGGTTTGATTAATCCCCTCGAGTGTGACTCAGGACCGTGTCGGCCCGCCAGCAAAGAATTGGTCGTCTCCCGAGCAGCAGAGTGCAGCCATGGGGCTGCAACGTGCAGAGGGCAGATTCAGCACCATGGAGAGCACCCGCTCAGCACAGGTGGGAGGCTCAGAGAAGCCATGCTGAGGTGTCGAGTGATGAGATTAATGAATAAATAACACATCAATAGGGAATGCATTATTGTAATCGCCTTCAGTGCTTAAAGTCACATGAATCAGCCATGTCTCTCTGTGTGTTCATTGACTGTGTGGAAATTACAACATTCTGCCAAAGGCGCATTGAGATGGTTAGTTATAAACAAGCAAGGCTTCCAAAGGAAGGACGAGTCTGTGCTTAGTCTGACACTGGCAAGGTGTCATGTGACAGATACACTTTCTCCTTTACAGTGATTAAATTCGGAGATATAAGAGAGAACTACTATTAAAAACTCAAAAATTGTATTCCCTAAACTGTCAGAAACTGTTACTGGCATTCACACAGCTGCCAAAGCCAAACTGATGCCAATTTATGTTCTAATCACCATGCTCACTTGTGTATTCATTGTCTGCACAGCACTGTGGTCTTCATTAACATGTTTAATGTTCATTAACATCTTGCTGAAAGTTTTTATATATTTCATATTAATAACTATAAATTAATATAATAAAATTAATTAAAAATGTGAATACTTTATTTGTAAAATACATTATAAAGTTTATCATATAAATGTATCATTTATCATTATTTAGTTTATCATATAAATGTTATTTTATTTTGATTTATTATTAAAGCAGCAATAGAAAATAGAATAGAAAATAAAAAAAAGTATATATACTACATAAAAGTCTTTAAATTGCTTTTTATATAGGCCTACTTGTGATGTGTGTGCATATGGCACAAAATATTGCAGAAAAATAAAATAAAATGAAATAGCTTTATAGGTCTTGTCTTTTCAAGCAATGAGGCAGTAAAGGATGGCCTCTGTCTCACCGGCCAGATAGAGAAAGGAGAGAGACAGTCTAGAGGGAGTCTATTTCTTTGATTTATTTCACTTTTATTGATCTCTCCCTGCCCTTGATGTATTCTATCTCCAGCTCAACCTCTCTGACGCGTTGGTGTAAAAGGGCTGCTTTGAAGCAGTCATGACAGAAGATCATGCGCACAAGCTCATTCCCTAAGTTTGCGCATCACAACAACATCGACTCACCCCAGCGTTGTCATGGTGACGATAGTGTACCAGAAAGCCGCCGGTATGCTGGTGAACTTGCTGGAGGTGGAGCCCTTCTCTGCGTAGAACATGACGGTAGCAAAGATGATGATGGCCATGGTGAGCGAGAAGAGCAGGAAGCCCAGCTCGGACGCGCAGCTCTTGAGCGTGTACCCCAGGATGCGCAGTCCCGCGGAGTGCCGCGAAAATTTGAAAATCCGAAAGACCCTGAAGACCCTGAGGGTGACGAAGGCCCCGCTTACGTCCTCGTTGTCCGCCATGACCAGGCCTATATAGTAAGGCATGATGGCCACCACGTCAATGATGCTCATGACACTCTTGACGAACTTGTACCTGCTGGGCGCGGCGATCAGACGCAGCAGGTACTCAACAGTGAAGATCATGACGCAGGCCGTATCCAGACAGAAGAACGCGACGGCGTAGCGCTCCCCGCAAGACACCTCCTTCGCCCGGTTTTGCTCGCTGCGGCACGGGACCGTCTCCACCACGTTGGCCATAACGGAGACGGCGATGAAAAATCCCGTGACATAATAGAACACCAGCGCCATGGTGCTCGTGTGCGGGTTCTCAAACGCGCGCCACATGGTCTCGCGGAACGACATATCCGGCGGCACCATGTCCTTGCTGTTTTCGTTCTCCTCATCGTCTTGAATCCTCTCCGTGTTCTCCCTCCTGCGATCTTTGTACTCCTCATAACAGCAGTCCCCTATTATCTCAGGAATGATGCCGAAGAAGGCCAGCTCCTCGTCATAGGCGGAGATGCACTCGTGGCGAGGGTAGTGCAGCTTCCCAGTTCGGTAGAAGTTGAGGATGTGCCTGAAGATGTCCGGGTCGCGGTCGAAAAAGTACTCGTTGGACTCCTCGTGGAAGAAGAAGTCGCGCTCCGTGCTTCCTAGTAAGGTGTCAGGGTACCTCTCCAAAGTATTCCGCCAAGTTTGAAACCTAGTGCCGCTGACGTTTAAGATAATCAGGCCGTCCTGACCTCGCCTCTTTTCCCGTGGAGGCGGCGGCATCGGGGTGCTCGCCACGGGCATCCATCCTATGGCCGCGGCGCGCGCGAACGGTAGCCACGCGGCGACTCCGGCTGCCATGCTGACCCAATGTGCGCGACCCGGTGAGACTGAAGCAGGTTTCGCGCTCACAGATCCGCCACGAACAGAAAGGACATCTGGAAAGACACAATGCGCTATTACTTGATGTAAAGTTCAAGGAAGACTATTTCTCACGCGTAGCAGAACACTGCACTAGTGAGCCATAATATTTATCAAGATCAAAGCATTCGAATGGCAAGGTGGAATTACAGTGAGCGCAGAATGGAATGATGGGGTGTATGCATGAAAAGACCGCCCTTTCGGTCAAACATTTCTTCCTGAGAATGGACCTTTTTTTTTTTTACTATGTAACCTATTGCTCATGAGCAAGAGAAACAACTTACCTCCTCATAAATAGATTTTGATGCAAAAGTGCAGGTTTTTACACACAGATCATCAGTTATAGTCCACTTTGAATCGCTGTTCTGCCGTTACGCACAAATAAGTATCCGAAATGCGCTCTCGGATCTGTTCTAGAGCAAATGCAACAAGTTTAGAAGTCAGGTAGATGATTCACGTTGTCCAATGACATCCTTTTTACCGGTCAAAGCTTCTGTGTTTCACACTGACGCTTTTGAAGAAACCTGCCACAGTGGTCCTTTCATAGGAAGAGAAGACCACCCTGGCGAGTGCGGGTTCGGTGTTTCAAAAGAAGAGAATGTCACTTTCCCATCCGCTTCACTTAAATGTAATCCAATGAGCCGAGAACTGTTTCGCAGGGTCTGCCTGTAACCCGAACAAAAAGTGAACCCGCAACAAATGATTCGCTGGAAGTTGCTTCATCCGCTACCGAGGAAGATCTGTGAGTCTGCGGTGGAGCCCAAGTTGCTTCTGCTCACGGCGCATTGGAGGCGTGTCACGTGCTACGGGCATCGGTTAACACAAATGAATGTAACACAGCCTGTGTGAATGGTGCATAATGTGCCATGAGTAGTGTTACGTTTAAATGCTTATTTGTAGCATTTGATTCTCTTATATACCCTAGCGCATTGTGTAAAGTTATCCAATGGCTTTCTTTGAATTATTATTAAACAGAGTTTCGCTGGAATTCAGTGAAGTGCTGAATGACGAGCTCAGAGACTGGGGCAAAGCGCTGCGGATATTTTTTTTCACGTCTCAGGTTATTGATTCACACATCCAGCGCTGCTAGATGTGCAGTGGGGGAAGCCGCTAGATGGAGACAGTTTTCAGAGGTGAGGGAAGATCAGACCTGTAAGAGCGAATGGATTCGAGTCATGCGAAGGTCTCTTGCTGTGACAAACAAAATCCGCAAGCTCAAAATTATCAACGTTGCAGCTCTCTATACATGGGTCAGTGACAAATAAGGATGCTTGAGACGATAAAAGGAGAAATGCTGTACGTGGCAAGTTTTTTTATGCTCGTTTTGTGAGGAACTGCGTCGACTGGGGAATTACCAAAACAAATTCATTCAAATATAAGAAAAGAAATTTGGCAAATAATGTGATTAATTCACACTGACATCGATTTCCGGACAAAAGTTTTTCAGATATCCTACACTGAAATAAGAAATCGAATAGATTTAGACAAAAATTTCAAATATTTATCCTTCATGACTGTGATTTCTGAGGTAACAATATCCCATTCGGCGCAGCTTCTGACAAAATCGACTTTGCCAAAACCTGATTTTAGCTAGTGAACCAAAACAGCTGCGGCAGCTCAGAGCGCCATGCGTGTTTGTCTGCGCGCCCCCGTGATGAATTTCCTGGCGGAGGGCCTCCCTCTTCTCCATTGCCTTCCAAATTAGTCACGTAGACGCATCACAGATTAAATGTTGCAAGAGAAACAGAGAGGTTTTTGATCTCAAAGGCTTGCTGGGACTGGTTTCTTTCAGCACCACGGACAGCGACCAGTTGCACTGCCGCCTTATAGATTATTGCTAAATGATTCGAGTGCTTGTAGCCAATTTCCATTATCTTTAGGGTTGTATCCTTTCTCTCTTCCCCCTTTATAAATGCAGATCTGCGTTGATAACCCTTAAATATTCTCTACACACTTTTTTTGCAATTCAGCACAAACAACAGAATGCCCATTCTGTTCATCTAGTTTTTCGTTTCAAGTTATAGCCTACTAAAACTTAAAATTAAAGTACATTTTCAATGTAAAATAAATTAAGAAGAAAATCTCCCCAATCAGAATAATCGTAATATTTGCATATTAATTTGCGCCTGGTCTTGTGTTTCTTTGAATATTCATTTATTTTCCTTAAATAAATAATGAAGCACAAATCCAATGTCTATTTTGTGAGATTGATTATAAATGTTAGATGACCTATTTTCTAATATAAAATTAGCAGCATTTTATTAACAGCACTGAATAAACTAATTTTAAGGATAAAAAAAAAAAAACATATATTAAACTGTCCCACATTTCTCAACCCTTATAGTAGATGATTAAAAGTAAAAGTAACACTTCTTAAAATTGTGATATCTACAAGAAATCACATTATCTGGACCCTTTCTACATCTCCAAAAAAAAAAAAAGGGTAAAAATGTATATATATAGAGAGAGAGGTTTTTGATGTCAAAGGCTTTCTGGGACTGGTTTTCCAGTTTTTATATATTTATATATATACAACTGACAGTTTATCACTAAGAACATTAGGTCCCAAACAAGTGACAATTACTTTAGGCCACATTTACACCCTGTTACTTCAAACATTTGTATCTGTTCTGGCTTAGTTTCCACTAACAGTGTTGAAAACCCTGATACATGAATCCCATGAACAGAATGAACAGAAAAAAATAAAACTTTGACCTTCCGATCATCAAAATGCCTTTGATTCAGTATTTTAATTAAACAGAACTTTTCTCTTGCTGCCTTGTGAACACTGTTATTTCCTTCAAGAAAAGCAAATCTCCTTTATGAATGTCACGGGCAACCCACACTCACCTTTGCACAAAACCACACCATGGCAAACTTAATTAATTTACAAAGCTAACAGGATTCCCTCATTTGAGCATTCTGTACCGTGACCACGCACTATGTTTTAAACTGAATGAATCAGAATAGTAGTGTTCTGCGCCATCGTAGTCAATTAAGTGACTTTTGTTCAGAGCATTTCCCTGCCTCGGGTTGTTAGAGAAATGGCGCCAAAATATGACAGGCGCTGATGTAACCATGGTTACCAGTCACATCTATTTCAGTCCCGTGAGCTAAACCAGACAGTGTTGATGCATGCGTTTGCACGCCACTCTGGAGAATCTTCACCCCTACAGTTCATCGCGTCAGCGTGACAAAACTCACGCCTCGGTTGAAATCTATAGAACATCTAACTTTACCACTGGGATAACACTCTGAATCAACCTTTGAGCTCGGGTTAGATGTGCTGCATCGGCCCACGGCGGCCGGTATAAGTGTCAGACCACAGCTGAAGATATATTTATAAATCTATACAGAAAATGAAAAGGAACATCTTTATTCAAACTCTTTACGCTGTAGGTCAAACCACAGAGACATGCTTATTAGAAATGATCCTTATCATTGGAGACTGGACTACGAGGACATCAGAAGGGCTGTTTCAGCATGCATGGGAGTTGGATATGACTTTAAATGACTGCCTGATAATGTCAGTGTATTTGAAATTCTGCACGGTCGATGTGGAGCTTTTCAACATTTATTATGTTCAACTTCTCTCTCAGGCCAAACATTATTTCGCTGCTCATGTTATGCCTGCAGGAATGTTGCATTGAATCAAAATGAATGATTGAAAGGTCTTGATTTGGGTCTATGGGCAGGACACACCTGACTAAATGATTGTTTCTTCATATGAATGATAAATGAAGATTCTGTCATCATTTACTCACCCTCATGTCATTCTAGACCCCATTGACTTTCATTATATGGACAAAAAAAAAAAACTCCTTCTGTCACCGTGCTTTTTCCAAGTAAAACATATTTTGTTGATCCTGGAAAAACATTCCTGTCTGAAAATTTTGTCCTAACCCTATCCATACCCCTAAACCTAACCCTATACGTTATCCCTAAAGTCAGAGGGAAATGATAGGTGAATAACACGGATGTAGAAGCACCTAACCCTGGTTGTAAGCCTAAACTTGACATCATCTGTAAACGTGTCCCTCAAATCTGATTGGTTGTTTGGAATATTGTTCCAGGATCAACAAAGTTGTTGATCCACATGTTGCACTTGGTGAAATCAGGTTCACCAAAGTCCTACAGGTTTAGAACGACATGCGGGAGAGTAAATTACAATTTTGAGTGAACTGAACTGTACCTCTAAAGTTTAAACTATCCACTTAAATGCTTGAAATTAGTTGTATGGAGAAATTACTTCGTTTGGTATGAATTAGACTGTAAAATGAAGAAAAAGCAAACAATGTCTAGCAAACAAGTATCATAATAACATAAGTTTAAATCCAAGTATTAGAACAGACAACTGTAATGGCGAATAGATGACTATTGCGATTGTAACAAAAACCTCCTATTTTCATACTTAAAAGAACGAGAAAGCGGACTATATCTTTATTTCATTGGTGTATTATGTATGCCTTTGTGTGGTGAAGGTGAGTGATCTGAAGCACTCATTATCTCTGCAGTACTCCAGTTAGTGTTGAACAAAATAACACCTGCTTCATTGCCTTGACCATTACTCATACATATAAAATGTAGAGGAGTATAATACAACTCTCACTTACTTGTAAAACTAGATTAAATATGTACTAAAACTCCCATGAGTCAGTCATTCAGCATCAGGGCGAATGCAATCCTGCATAACCGCTTTGAACACGCATAAAATTACGCAAAATAACATCCATAAATCTTAATCCAGAAGGAGAGAGAGAGAGAGAGAAAACTCTGGATTCTCTCTGGTTTTCCCATCAAGCTTCACGCATATACAAGCCAAGCTGTGAGTGACACAATATCATGAACGCCGGTGGTGTTTTTCAACCCCTTTGACAGGATCCATGGTAACGGTGTAACTGTAATAATTTCATTTTTCATACCTGACAATGCCGCTCAGAGTGAGCACGCCACACCAGTCGTTCATCACCCCGCCTGGACTGGACCGAGGGCCTTCTGCTGGAGCCACAAGGTTTGAGATGCAGACAAACAGCTCATGATGCTTTTCAGAGGCTCCCTGCATGATTAAAACAGTGCTGGTGAATATTAATGCAGAATCAGTATGAAATATTCATATTATCAGTATCTGTCAGACATGGTGGTTCATGTTTTCTCACTAATAAGCCAGTTCATCAATTTCTGAATAAACAGATTTGGCGTTGAAAATGTTCTACTAAAAAAATACAAAAGCTGAACATGATTTTTTTTTTTCTTCAGGAAGATATGAAGACTGAAAGCTCCCTGTACAACTGAACTGAGGTCAGCTGCAATATCAAATCCGCTGTGTTTGGGGACTTGCCTAACAGGATTAGGATCTGATCCGTGAACTGAATGGGAGCCCAAGTCAAAGAGTCTTCAGAGACAGAAGTGAAGCTCAGTTTTTACTCTTTGCCCCGTTGTTTTATTATGCAAAAGAACGATTTCAGCAGCTAGGTTAGAGAATGACATCGAGATCAGTGTTTCCTAAATGTAGTTATCCCTCGGAATGATACAAGTGAGGTATAGAAACTCTCAATGGAGCTTGTGTTGCTTTATTTTCCTTTTCTCTGTGCTTTTACCTGGGAGCCCCGCGGAAGCCAGGAGTCGGACTGATGAGCTACAGCCCAATTTAGAAGGCTTGTCCTGGGCACGCAAAGGGGCCGAAACAGTCTTCAGACAGGTCCTTGAGGCATTCATTAAAGTCCACGCTGCCAAACCCAGAGAGAAAGAAAGAAAAGCCCAGTTGAACATCTCTCTTACGAGTGCCTGTTCGTAGCCTTCGCTGATCTGGATAATTAGATCTTTCCGTTTTTCTGCTCGGTCTCTCAGATGAATAAATATTTTGTCTGCGCATATTTAAAGGTGTCGAAACGTGGCATACACTGGAGCTGGAAAAAACCCCATATGGAGATGA